GGCGGGGAGGAAGTCCTGGAGGACGGCGGGGAGGAGTCCTGGAGGACGGCGGGGAGGAAGTCCTGGAGGACGGCGGGGAGGAAGTCCTGGAGGACGGCGGGGAGGAAGTCCTGGAGAGGACGGCGGGGAGGAGTCCTGGAGGGCGGCGGGGGAGGAGTCCTGGAGGGCGGCGTGGAGGAATCCCGGAGGGCGGCGTGGAGGAATCCTGGAGGACATCATTTCCTCCTTGTCCCCGGGACCAGGGATCCATCAACAAACATCTCCATGGGGGGGGTTACAGGTGTGAAAGAGGAAATTATTTCTGGAACCCCCCCCCCCCCCGATCCAACACCATCATTTCAGGACCCTGGAAGTGGATGATGGGGGGGGACAGGTGATCAGTGAGGGGGAGGGGTGAAGTGGGGGATGTGGATGGCAGGTGATCAGAACTGTGAGCTGTGAAGCAGAGGATGGGGAAGACAGGTGATCAGTGTAACGGATGGGAATGGCAGGTGATCAGTGTGGGGGATGGGAATGACAAGTAATTAATGTGTGGGATGGGAGAAGCGGGGGATGGGGATGACAGGTGATCAGTGTAACGGATGGGAATGGCAGGTGATCAGTGTGGGGGATGGGAATGACAAGTAATTAATGTGTGGGATGGGAGAAGCGGGGGATGGGGATGACAGGTGATCAGTTTAGGGGATGGGGATGACAGGTGATCCGTGTGGGGAGAGGGTGAAGTGGGGGATGGGAATGACAGGTGATCAGTGTGGGGATGGGGTGAAGTGGGGGATGGGATGACAGGTGATTAATGTGTGGAATGGGAGAAGTGGGGGGTGGGGATGACAGGTGATCAGTTTAGGGGATGGGATGACAGGTGATTAGTGTGGGAAAGGGGGTGAAGTGAGGGATGGGGATGACAGGTGATCATTGTGGGGAGGGGTGAAGTGAAAGGGATGGGGGTGACAGGTAATCATTGAGGGGAGGGGTGAAGTGAGGGATGGGGTGACAGGTGATCAGTGTGGGGGAGGGGTGAAGTGAGGGATGGGGGTGACAGGTGATCAGTGTGGGGGAGGGGTGAAGTGAGGGATGGGGGTGACAGGCGATCAGTGTAGGGGAGGGGTGAAGTGAGAGGATGGGGGATGACAGGTGATCAGAGTGGGGGAGGGGTGAGGACTGTCCTGTCAGGTGAGGCTCCTCCCCCCTCAGATCTCCCAGTCACCCTGATCTCAGACATGCGGCCCCGCCCTCCCCCTACCCGGGGGCGTGTCCCCCGCTCCTCTCACCCGGAATGCCCCCCACTCCAGCCTTTTCAGGGGTCCCAGAGGGCCACTCACACCCGTCCCTCAGGAGCTGCGTACTCAGGCCGCCATCTTTGTACTCCTCTAACACATTCTTCAGCCGGCGACCCTCACCCACTTCCGCCCTCCAGACCGGAAGTTTGGCCTTGAAGCGCCGGTACCATAGAGGAGCGCTGCCAGAGCGGTGTGCGGGCTCCCCCTGAGGACGACGGCTGCGGTGACTGGAGGGATTTCTCAGCTATATTGTGAGAGGGGGAAGGCAGCCGGCACTTCCGGGAAGACACACGTGTGGGCGGTCACATGACACTGACGTCATCAGAGGGCGCCGTGTGATGGGAGAGTGGTGAAGGGCAGATCACAGAGAGGTAAGTAGATAAGGTGACCCCGGGTGTAAGGAGATCGGTGATTGGCTGTTCATCTGCAATCTGATCGCACGATCTCCTACAGCTGCTGGGAAAACGCTTCACTTTGTGTGGAGTGGGGGAGGGATATACCCATTGGAAGATTTCACCTCACTTCCTGTTCTGGTGACAACCCAATATTTGGGATTTTCCTTCACTTTCAATGATAATGGTAATCAAGAGAATAGAGAGAGGGAATCTCCCTACCAGGGGTCACCCCTCCCCCTCCATCCAACACTGACAGGGGGTCTCCCACCCTCCCCCCTCCATCCAACACTGACAGGGGGTCTCACCCCCCCTCCATCCAACACTGACAGGGGGTCACCCCTCCCCCTCCATCCAACACTGACAGGGGGTCTCCCCCCTCCCCCTCCATCCAACACTGACAGGGGGTCTCCCCCCCCCCTCCCCCTCTCCATCCAACACTGACAGGGGGGTCTCACCCCCCCCCCTCCATCCAACACTGACAGGGGGTCTCCCCCTCCATCCAACACTGACAGGGGGTCTCCCCCTCCATCCAACACTGACAGGGGGTCTCCCCCCTCCCCCTCCATCCAACACTGACAGGGGGTCTCCCCCCTCCCCCTCCATCCAACACTGACAGGGGGTCTCCCCCCTCCCCCTCCATCCAACACTGACAGGGGGTCTCACCTCCCCCTCCATCCAACACTGACAGGGGGTCTCCCCCCTCCCCCTCCATCCAACACTGACAGGGGGTCTCCCCCTCCATCCAACACTGACAGGGGGTCACCCCAACACTGACAGGGGGTCACCCCAACACTGACAGGGGGTCCCCCCAACACTGACAGGGGACCGCTCACACGTCATCCTCCGGGATCTGACCAATGACGAGACATTTCTCCTTTCATATGTTTCAGTGTCCGTAGACGGGTCAGCACAGCGTCTGCTTCCTCCTCCAGGGTCGCCCGGACATGACACCATGGTTCATCTGAGTGAGTATTTCCTTCATTCTTGTATTCCAGGAGCCAAGCGAGAAGCTCCTCCCCTGAACCACTCTAAGGCGGGGCTTGACAACCGTGCTTTGATTCCAGGAGTCAGCTAAAAATAGTCATTGTTGTATTGTAGAGCGGGTTGTCAGCGCCGGGACTTCGGGGATCTTCCACACGGCAATCACTGCGTCACATGTAGGAGCCACTGACCCTAATGACATCCGAACCTGCGTTCTGTGATCACAGCGATTCTGCTGCCACCCCCAAAAACACCCGGGCGTGAGTGGAGCCGGGGGGCGTGAGTGGAGCCGCCCCCGGGGCGTGAGTGGAGCCGGGGCGTGAGTGGAGCCGCCCCCCCGGGGTGTGAGTGGAGCCCGCCCCCCCGGGGCGTGAGTGGAGCCGCCCCCCCGGGGCGTGAGTGGAGCCGCCCCCCCGGGGCGTGAGTGGAGCCGCCCCCCCCCGGGGCGTGAGTGGAGCCGCCCCCCGGGGCGTGAGTGGAGCCGCCCCGGATCACACATAGGAGATTCGGGATTCACTTTGAACCTGACAGATTGAACAGGCTGGATATTACGTGTTCCTATGGGGGGGGTCGGGGGTCACACACAGAGGCCATGTTTCCAGTGATGGGTCAGGTGTGTAGCGGTACGTTCCAGATTTGCAGTGATAGAGATTGGCATGCGGAGGTAAGTGTTCACATAGGATTGCTACTGACATTTTCTTGTTGGTCTATGGGAGGCCCGTCTTTTCCCATTGAAGTCTATGGGAGGTCCGTCTTTCCCATTGAAGTCTATGGGAGGAGCGTCTTCCCCCGTTGAAGTCTATGGGAGGAGCGTCTTTCCCGTTGAAGTCTATGGGAGGAGCGTCTTTTCCCGTTGAAGTCTATGGGAGGCCCGTCTTTCCCATTGAAGTCTATGGGAGGCCCGTCTTTCCCATTGAAGTCTATGGGAGGCCCGTCTTTCCCATTGAAGTCTATGGGAGGAGCGTCTTTCCCGCTGAAGTCTATGGGAGGCGCGCGTCTTTCCCGTTGAGGTCTATGGGAGGCGCGTCTTTCCCGTTGAGGTCTATGGGAGGCGCGTCTTTCCCGTTGAGGTCTATGGGAGGCGCGTCTTTCCCGTTGAGGTCTATGGGAGGCGCGTCTTTCCCGTTGAGGTCTATGGGAGGCTCGTCTTTCCCGTTGAGGTCTATGGGAGGCTCGTCTTTCCCGTTGAGGTCTATGGGAGACCCGTCTTTCCCGTTGAGGTCTATGGGAGACCCGTCTTTCCCGTTGAGGTCTATGGGAGGCGTCTTTCCCGTTGAAGTCTATTGGAGGCTCGTCTTTCCCGTTGAAGTCTATTGGAGGCTCGTCTTTCCCGTTGAAGTCTATTGGAGGCAGTGTGTGTTCCCAGGCACCAGGATGCAGTTCCTAGAAGCCATGGCCCCTGGGTCAAGCCGTGCTTTGAGGCCTTGTTCAGGTGGGGTGTTGTAGCGTGTACCTGAGCGTGGGCCGTGTTTGTCAGCCCCGGGATGTACCGCTGTACGGGTGTTCTGTGCATCCCTGTGGTGACATCTGTGCGGGGTGTAGGAGCCATGCATGCGCACAGCTGGCAGATTGGGAGGTGTGTCTCCGTTGCAATGAATGGACTTCCCACCTGTATGTCCCGCTGTGGGCGGATCCAGGCCTTGCACATGCGCAGCCAATACCTGAGTGACACCGACACCTTCCATATCATTGGCCAACCAGGAAATACGTAAGTCTGACCTCTGCTGATCTCCTCCTGCTGTCCTCTGGGAACCGAACTGAGGAAATCCTGAATGCTTCTGTCTGCGCCGCTTCCCCAGCAATATGGGATGTCTGTTGGGCCCTGATTGGCTGCTGGAAACATGACCAATCACATGAATGGGCGGCCGTGTGCAACAAATGTGCCGCAAGACGCTCCGGCACCTCATTGGACGCTGAGCTTTGCACATTTCTCTCCTTCCTGACAACACGCGTTTGGTAGCCGCGTCTGGGGTGTCATTAACAATGAATGGCGCCACAATCGCGACGCACGTTTTTCAGTCTTTCCCGAAACGCACGGTTTGAATGTCCCCCAGAGTATGGCTGGTGTCACAGGATCTGGGGGAGGGGGGCTGATTCTGATTGGTGAGATGTCCGGCCAATGGCTGCAGCCCCAAGTTTCTGGACCTTTTCCTATGAAGTGTATTGGAGACAATTGAAGGCGGAGCTCCCTGAGCGTCCAGCATGGCGGTGCAGTGAGGGGGCTCCTGATTGGTGGATTCCTAGTATTGTCACCACAATCTTCCATCTTTCTTTTCCCTTTCAGCGTCTCATCTGTTGCGCCGCTACTATGGCGGCAATGTTGTGTGATCCGGATGGCGCTCGGCGGATGCACAACAACAGACCCTTCTACAAGATTGTCGCCGCCTACAACAAGCGGCCGCGGGATGGGCGCCACTTCGACAAACTCGGGACCTACGACCCCCTGCCCAACGTACACAATGAGAAACTGGTGAGCCTGAATGTGGAGAGGATCAAATACTGGATGGCCTCTGGAGCTCACATCACCAAACCCGTCGCCAAACTGCTGGGTGAGTCCAGAGATCAGAACTCCTTTCCTCTGTTGTTGTCACATGATCCCGGACTGCATGGCGGTTCACAAGGCGCTGCGTATACATTGACGTTTCAGTAATAAAATCGTTTTCATCCTTTTTTATATGTCAGTGCTGCTGATCTCCTGCATCCTATTCGCAGCCACTTCCATTCTACAGGAGCAGGGCCGTGGATAAGGGGGTACCACCAGTCCTGTACGGGGCCCAGGCCAGCGGGGGGGGCCAGGCAGTTGGGTGAATTGAATGTGGGAAGAGATGGTGATTGGCACGGGGGTGGGGGGGGGGGCAATTACTGGAACCGATCCCCTGTACGGCTCTCTCTGCAGCAGCTGAAAGCCGGCTTCTTCTCCTCCCCCTCCCGCTGGCTTTCAGCTGCTGCAGAGAGAGCCGTACAGGGGATCGGTTCCAGTAATTGCCCCCCAGCCCCCACCCCCCCCCCACCATGCCGATCACCCTCCCTACCCACATCTTTTTCACCCAGCTGCCTGGGCCCCAACAATGCCGGCTTCCCTCCAGCAGCTGCAGCACACAATAGAGAGCGGGGGAGGGGTCTGATAAATGTCACATCTACTAGGCCCTTCCTTTCCTGAATTAACACATTTGAGTGATCGGCACCAATCACTCACTGTGTTCATTCATAACTGAAGCATAGTAAACTGTGTTTTTGTAAGGGGGCCCTGTCAGGTTGGCTGTATGGGGCCCCGTGGTTTCTAGCATTAGCCCGCATGGAAGTTCTCATTGGGGGGGGGTCCTGATGGGGTCAGCCGTGGAATATGTGTCAGCATGGCCATCTCTAGTCTCCATAACAAGTTTAATAAGATGGGAGGCAGGAAGTGTTGTCGCTTTTTAACTTTTACTGCAGCCTCTGGATCGCTGCCGCTCACCCCTGTATGGTTTGGTCTGTTCCTACCCCCCCCCCCCCCCTCCCCCCGGCCGTGCCCATCGGGGGACCCAGGACTGGCATGGTGGGTGCTGCTGGTTAGAGGGGAAGGAGATCAGCGATTGCCTGGTCACTGATCTCCTCTTCCTGTTACTGACCCAGAAGTGCTGGGGGTCATCTAGCACCCAGGGTGAAGATACCAAACTGCACCCCCTAGATATGTGAGCAAAAATCCCCCCTCAAAAAATAACCAAGCAGTAATCTGTGCACTAACCCCTCTAAGCATATATGTTGCCCTTGCAAGCCAAGATTCTCCCCCTCCTCCCAGTACAATACCCCCCCCCCCCCCCCCCAGCACAAATCTTTGACCCCAGGGTTCCCTTACCAACCCCCATCTCCTCTTTGCTGGAAGGAGACGGACAAGTATAGTCCCAATCTGATATTCCTGACACAAGAGGGCTGTAGTGGCAGGAGGAGGAGCTGGAGAGGGGAGAGAGCACAGCCTGCACCTCCTCCCGGCTCTCTTCTGCTCTTTTCACTCCACTTTGTGTCTTACAAACCATTATACTAATATTGCGTGACAGAAAATTGGAGCCGCCATTGTTATTCTGCAGGGTGTCCGCTGTGAGAAAATCCGTAACGTTTGGGGGTTCCAGGTCATCAGGCTGAAAATGGAGTTTTTAAATGTATGCAAAAGCAGCTCCGGCAGTGAAAGGGTGAAACAGGAAGTGTCTGAAAGGGACTCCGGTGTGTAAGGGGGGGACTCCGGTGTGTACGGGGGGGGGGGGGAGGACTCCGGTGTGTACGGGGGGGGTACTCGGGTGCGTAAGGGGGGGGGGAGGACTCGGGTGCGTAACGGGGCGGGTGGGGGGGGGGGGGGGGGGGGGAATCGGGAAGCTACAGATACATGAAATGCTATTGGCTGATCCTCACTATTGGTTGGTGGGCGGAGTAACAGGTTCTCTATATTGCAGCTCATATTGTTCTCCCCTCCCCCGCCACCATTCCATCTGCCAGAAAGGAAGGAACCTACCTGGAACTTTGTGACTCCACATGGCTGGGCTGGTGATTGGCTGCTGGGGGGGGGGGGGGGGGGGGGGGGGGGGGGGGGGGGGGGGGGGGGGGGGGTAGACAGTCCTATGACCTGCATAGCACAGCACTCCCTAGAGGCCAGAGTGTCAGGAACCATCAGGCAGTGCAATCAGCATCATCCTGAACGCAGATAGATGTATTTCCATTGATTTTTATTTTCCTTCTTCCAGGACTGGCCGGGTTCCTCCCTCTCCATCCCATGACTATCACAGCAGCTGAGAGACTGAGGAGAGCCAAAGAGGAGACAGCGGAGGAAGACCATCCCGCGGGGGAGGCGGGAGACCATCCCGCGGGGGAGGCGGGAGACCATCCCGCGGGGGAGGAGAAGGATCAGGTCTGAGGCCCCTCCCCCGCTCACCACTGACAACCAAAAGACTTTTATATTCTGGAAGATCTGTCGGTGACACTTCTTCACTTTTTCTACAATAAAATAAAATCCCATTTATTGTGCTGAAATATTTGTTATGTTCAAAACTAAGCTCTGCACTCCTCCCCCCCCCCCCCCCCCCCCCCCCCGGAGATGTCTGCACTCCCCCCCCCCCCCCCCCTCCCTCCGGAGATGTCTGCACCCCCCCCCCCCTCCCTCCGGAGATGTCTGCACCCCCCCCCCCCCCCCCCCCTCCCTCTGGAGATGTCTGCGCTCCTCCCCCCCCTCCCTCTGGAGATGTCTGCGCTCCTCCCCCCCCCCCTCCCTCTGGAGATGTCTGCGCTCCTCCCCCCCCCTCCCTCTGGAGATGTCTGAGCTTCTCCCCCCCCCCCTCCCTCTGGAGATGTCTGAGCTTCTCCCCCCCCCCTCCCTCTGGAGATGTCTGAGTCTGAGCTCCTCCCCCCCTCCCTCTGGAGATGTCTGAGCTCCCCCTCTCTGGAGATGTCTGAGCTCCTCCCCCCCTCCCCCCCCCCCCCTTCCGGAGATGTCTGAGCTTCCCTCCCCCCCCCCTTCCGGAGATGTCTGAGCTTCCCTCCCCCCCCTCCTCCGGAGATGTCTGAGCTCCTCCCCCCCCTCCCTCTGGAGATGTCTGAGCTCCTCCCCCCCCCCTTCCGGAGATGTCTGAGCTCCTCCCCCCCTCCCTCCGGAGATGTCTGAGCTCCTCCCCCCCCTCCCTCTGGAGATGTCTGAGCTCCTCCCCCCCCCCCCCCTCCCTCTGGAGATGTCTGAGCTCCTCCCCCCCCTCCCTCTGGAGATGTCTGAGCTCCTCCCCCCCCTCCCTCTGGAGATGTCTGAGCTCCTCCCCCCCCTCCTTCGGAGATGTCTGAGCTTCCCCCCCCCCTCCTCCGGAGATGTCTGAGCTCCTTCCCCCCCCTCCTCCGGAGATGTCTGAGCTCCTCCCCCCCCCTCCTCCGGAGATGTCTGACCTCCTCCCCCCCCCTCCCTCTGGAGATGTCTGAACTCCTCCCCCCCCCCTCCTTCGGAGATGTCTGAGCTCCTCCCCCCCCTCTTCCAGAGATGTCTGAGCTTCCCCCCCCCCTCCTCCGGAGATGTCTGAGCTCCTCCCCCCCTCCCTCCGGAGATGTCTGAGCTCCTCCCCCCCCCTCCTCCGGAGATGTCTGAGCTCCTCCCCCCACCTCCTCCGGAGATGTCTGAGCTCCTCCTCCGGAGATGTCTGAGCTCCCCCCCCCTCCTCCGGAGATGTCTGAGCTCCTCCCCCCCTCCCTCCGGAGATGTCTGAGCTCCTCCCCCCCCCTCCTCCGGAGATGTCTGAGCTCCTCCCCCCACCTCCTCCGGAGATGTCTGAGCTCCTCCTCCCCCTCCTCCGGAGATGTCTGAGCTCCTCCACCCCTCCTCCGGAGATGTCTGAGCTCCTCCACCCGTCCCGTGTTCTAAGCACTCATCCCTCCCATTTCAGCAATCATTCTCTGGTGGTGAATCCCCCCCCCCCCCCTGGACCCGGAGGATTCACCTGCACAGAATGTTGCCCAATTGTCACTTTTGCTGCTTTATAAATATTCCCCAGAAAGTCGGAACGGTTTGTTGGTCACTTTATCCGCCCGAATATCCTGAATTGGAACAATCCCGATCGCCCAGACCGCTCTGCACAAGACACGCTCTGCATGACACCGGTGACAGTTGCTTGTGCTCTCATCTGAACAGTCAAACCATCCAATGGCTGGCGTCATAACTGATGACGTGCAGCTCCACGACCACTGCAGACCACACAGAGGAGAAGATGGCAATGTACCGACCCCAGACACCCACCACTGGGATCCTCCGACAAGAAGCTGCTTCTCAGGCTCCGGAACACGAGATCAGTGACTCCGGCTATTGTTACCCTGAGATCCAGATGAGACCAGGAAGTAGAACACAGATACAAGATATATACACTCAGGGAACAACCCCCCCTCCCTGCATAATGACACAGGGCGGGACACTCCCCCCTCCCTGCATAATGACACAGGACGGGACACTCCCCCCTCCCTGCATAATGACACAGGGCGGGACACTCCCCCCTCCCTGCATAATGACACAGGGCGGGGTAATCTACATTTAGTAACAAGAGACGCACCAAAAGACTGTCCCATCAGGAGGGAGGGCTGCTGGAGACACACCCCCCCCCCACCAAGCCAATACACAAACACATACATCCCATAATAATTTGCTCCCAAGCAAGACACACAATAGAACAATGGGATGCAGTCACATGACACCAAACAATCCACAACCCCCCCCCCCCAATATTTGGACAGATCCCCCTGTACCCCTACAGGCACAGGAGGACTTACACATAAGAGGGATATGGGGAGCTGAGACGGGTCCCCCCACCTCTCCAAAGTGAGCTGTGTTCCATGGGCCCCCCACCCAAAGTGAGCTGTGTTCCATGGGCCCCCCACCCAAAGTGAGCTGTGTTCCATGGGCCCCCCACACAAAGTGAGCTGTGTTCCATGGGCCCCCCACCCAAAGTGAGCTGTGTTCCATGGGCCCCCACACACAAAGTGAGCTGTGTTCCATGGGCCCCCCACCCATTCAGTCTTCCCTCCAGTCACCCCCACACCACAGAACTGGTCACATCCAGACACGACATGGAATTATTGATTGCAAGAACTGACACCCAATGAATGAATGGAACAGGCTGGGGAGGAAAGAGCTAGATGGTGCTGGACATCCTCCAACCAGGAAATGGGGAGGAGCTCTGTCGCACTTACTGCAGCTTCTAATGCACATTGTGAGAAGTTTCCAGTGTCCAGTGACATCAGAGGAAGCCGCTTCAGTCCAGGGGAGGAGCCGGTACACCTGTGCAAGACTGAAGGGGAGGAGCCGGTACACCTGTGCAAGACTGAAGGGGAGGAGCCGGTACACCTGCGCAAGACTGAAGGGGAGGAGCCGGTACACCTGTGCAAGACTGAAGGGGAGGAGCCGGTACACCTGCGCAAGACTGAAGGGGAGGAGCCGGTACACCTGTGCAAGACTGAAGGGGAGGAGCCGGTACACCTGCGCAAGACTGAAGGGGAGGAGCCGGTACACCTGCGCAAGACTGAAGGGGAGGAGCCGGTACACCTGCGCAAGACTGAAGGGGAGGAGCCGGTACACCTGCGCAAGACTGAAGGGGAGGAGCCGGTACACCTGTGCAAGACTGAAGGGGAGGGGCCGGTACACCTGCGCAAGACTGAAGGGGAGGAGCCGATACACCTGTGCAAGACTGAAGGGGAGGAGCCGATACACCTGCGCAAGACTGGAGGGGAGGAGCCGGTACACCTGTGCAAGACTGAAGGGGAGGAGCCGATACACCTGTGAAAGACTGAAGGGGAGGAGCCGATACACCTGTGCAAGACTGGAGGGGAGGAGCCGATACACCTGTGCAAGACTGAAGGGGAGGAGCCGGTACACCTTTGCAAGACTGAAGGGGAGGAGCCGGGACACCTGTGCAAGACTGAAGGGGAGGAGCCGGGACACCTGTGCAAGACTGAAGGGAGGAGCCGGTACACCTGTGCAAGACTGAAGGGGAGGAGCCGATACACCTGTGCAAGACTGAAGGGGAGGGGCCGGTACACCTGTGCAAGACTGAAGGGGAGGAGCCGGTACACCTGTGCAAGACTGAAGGGGAGGAGCCGGTACACCTGTGCAAGACTGAAGGGGAGGAGCCGGTACACCTGTGCAAGACTGAAGGGGAGGAGCCGGTACACCTGTGCAAGACTGAAGGGGAGGAGCCGGTACACCTGTGCAAGACTGAAGGGGAGGAGCCGGTACACCTGTGCAAGACTGAAGGGGAGGAGCCGGTACACCTGTGCAAGACTGGAGGGGAGGAGCCAACACCTGTGCAAGACTGGAGGGGAGGAGCCAGTACACCTGTGCAAGACTGGAGGGGAGGAGCCGGTACACCTGTGCAAGACTGGAGGGGAGGTCCAGATCACAGCCCTTCATTCACAGTCCTTAATATTCAGAGGAATGTAGGGGGGGAGGGCCACCTGTGTAGACATAGAGCTGGTAGTTGCTGTTCACAGTCCTCACCCCTAGATGGCGGTATCAGGACAGTGGACTGATCAGTGGAGCTCCTCCAATCATCTGCAACTTTCCCCACAAAGGGATCGATCTGCTGATCGAATTCTCTGTAGGCAGATGAAATTATTATTATACGGGATTTATATATCGCCAACAGTGTGCTCAGCGCTACAATATACAGGGAGTCAATACAGATCAATACAAGAGGGAGGGGCTGATCCTGGGAGCTTACACTCTAAGAGGGAGGGCCCTGATCCTGGGAGCTTACAGTCTAAGAGGGAGGGGCTGATCCCGGGAGTTTACAATCTAAGAGGGAGGGGCCTGATCCTGGGAGCTTACAATCTAGGAGGGAGGGGCTGATCCCGGGAGCTTACAGTCTAAGAGGGAGGGGCTGATCCCGGGAGCTTACAATCTAAGAGGGAGGGGTCTGATCCCGGGAGCTTACAATCTAAGAGGGAGGGGCTGATCCCGGGAGCTTACAATCTAAGAGGGAGGGGCCTGATCCTGGGAGCTTACAATCTAGGAGGGAGGGGGCTGATCCCGGGAGCTTACAGTCTAAGAGGGGGGGCTGATCCCGGGAGCTTACAATCTAAGAGGGAGGGGTCTGATCCCGGGAGCTTACAATCTAAGAGGGAGGGGCTGATCCCGGGAGCTTACAATCTAAGAGGGAGGGGCTGATCCCGGGAGCTTACAATCTAAGAGGGAGGGGCTGATCCCGGGAGTTTACAGTCTAAGAGGGAGGGGCTGATCCCGGGAGTTTACAATCTAGGAGGGAGGGGCTGATCCCGGGAGCTTACAGTCTAAGAGGGAGGGGGCTGATCCCAGGAGCTTACAATCTAAGAGGGATGGGCTGATCCTGGGAGTTTACAATCTAAGAGGGAGGGGCTGATCCCGGGAGTTTACAATCTAAGAGGGAGGGGCCTGATCCTGGGAGCTTACAATCTAGGAGGGAGGGGCTGATCCCGGGAGCTTACAGTCTAAGAGGGAGGGGCTGATCCCGGGAGCTTACAATCTAAGAGAGGGAGGGGTCTGATCCCGGGAGCTTACAATCTAAGAGGGAGGGGCTGATCCCGGGAGCTTACAATCTAAGAGGGAGGGGCTGATCCCGGGAGCTTACAATCTAAGAGGGAGGGGCTGATCCCGGGAGTTTACAGTCTAAGAGGGAGGGGCTGATCCCGGGAGTTTACAATCTAGGAGGGAGGGGCTGATCCCGGGAGCTTACAGTCTAAGAGGGAGGGGCTGATCCCAGGAGCTTACAATCTAAGAGGGATGGGCTGATCCTGGGAGTTTACAATCTAAGAGGGAGGGGCTGATCCCGGGAGTTTACAATCTAAGAGGGAGGGGCTGATCCCGGGAGTTTACAATCTAAGAGGTAGGGGCTGATCCCGGGAGCTTACAATCTAAGAGGGAGGGGTCTGATCTCAGGAGTTTACAATCTAAGAGGGAGGGGCTGATCCGGGAGTTTACAATCTAAGAGGGAGGGGCTGATCCTGGGAGTTTACAATCTAAGAGGGAGGGGCTGATCCCGGGAGTTTACAATCTAAGAAGGAGGGGCTGATCCTGGGAGCTTACAGTCTGAGAGGGAGGGGCTGATCCCGGGAGTTTCCAATCTGAGAGGGAGGGGCTGATCCAGGGAGCTAACAGTCTAAGAGGGAGGGGCTTATCCTGGGAGTTTCCAATCTGAGAGGGAGGGGCTGATCCCGGGAGCTTACAATCTAAGAGGGAGGGGCTGATCCTGGGAGCTTACAATCTAAGAGGGAGGGGCTGACCCTGGGAGCTTACAATCTAAGAGGGAGGGGCCTGATCCTGGGAGCTTACAATCTAAGAGGGAGGGGTCTGATCTCAGGAGTTTACAATCTAAGAGGGAGGGGCTGATCCCGGGAGTTTACAATCTAAGAGGGAGGGGCTGATCCTGGGAGTTTACAATCTAAGAGGGAGGGGCTGATCCAGGGAGCTTACAGTCTGTTATGATCCACCAGGCGGAGCCTTCCGGCTGCCAACTGATAGACCAACCCAGAGCGTGGGGTCTAAGCCCGGGCTGTGCCTTCACCAGGGCCCCTGATGGTGGGGATGGACTTGAAACAGTCCCGGGCCAGGTCACGACCCTGGGCGGGCCCACCAGCGGCTGGGAAGGCCTCCGGGGATGCGTGTAGGTACCGGGAGAGCCAGATATGAGGCGGATGACGGCCCCAGCAGGGTGGCACGGATAGTGGTTCCGTGGGGGGGGTAAGCGGGGTACCAAATCAGCGGGCAAGGAGTAGTCAGGTCACATGCAGGGTCAGCCAGGTAAATCAGTCCGTAGAATAGTCAGGATATCCGAGTCAAAACGCAGGAGCAGGCAGAGTAGTCAGGACAAGCCGGGTCAAACACAGGGCAGGCAGCGTAGTCAGAGTCGAAAACAGGGTCACAGAACAGGAGCAGGTATCCAGGATCACATAAGACCTTGCGGCAATGGGTGACAGTGCAGGGCATCTTTAAATAGTGCGCCCTGCACTGTCATTGGCTGGCTGGGACGCGCCCCCGGCTGTCATTGGACGCCTGAGGCGCGCCCTCGACTCTCTACTGCGCATGCGCGGCGTCCTGTCAGCCGCGGCTCGCCGCCAGTGCGCATGCGCGGGGGGACGGCGCCGTGATGCAGGATTCCGGCGCCGTGATCCCTGACACTGCCCCCCCCAATGGGCACCCTCCGGGAGCCCCACTGATCTCTCCACCGCGGGTGTCCACGAAAAAAATTCCCGGATGAACCGGGGAGCGTGAATGTTCTGGGCGGGTTCCCATGAGTTCTCCTCAGGGCCATAACCCTTCCATTTTATCAGGAACTGGGTCTGGTTCGCCCTCCGTCGGCAACTGAGGATAGTCTCCACTTCGTATTCTCCTGGTCATCTACGGAGATTGCCTCGGGAGGTCTGGACTCACGGTCCGGGAAAGGATCGGTCTGGATGGCTTCAGGAGAGACACATGGAACACAGGATGTACCCTGAAGGTCTGCGGAAGCTCGAGCTCGTAGGCCACCTTGTTGACTACACGCTTTACCGGAAATGGGCCAATGTACTTGGGTCCCAGCTTCCTCGAAGGATGCAGCATCTTCAAGTTGGTCGTTGACAGCCCATACCCGATCCCCTGGTTGAAGCAGTAATTCTCCTCTTCTTTTCCTGTCGAATGCCCTCTTGCTGTCCCCTTGGGCTTTGGCGATGGCTTCCTGAATTGTCTTGTTATTGACAGAGAAGAAGTTTAAGACGTCCTGAGATGCCGGTACCGGGTTTTCAGGCATCAGGTCAGGGAGAAATGTGGGATGATACCCGTAATTGGCGAAGAACGGGGATTGCCCCGTTGCAGAGTGACTCGAGTTGTTGTACGCGAATTCTGCGGACGGCAACAACGTCAACCAGTCATCCTGTAGGTAGGACGTGTAACATCGCAGGTATTGTTCCAGCGTTTGGTTGGTCCTTTCGGTTTGGCCGTTGGTCTGCGGGTGGTAGGCGGATGAAAGCGACAGCTTGATTCCTAGTGCTTTACACAAGGAGTTCCAGAACCTGGAGGTGAATTGGACTCCCCGATCTGACACTATATCTTCGGGGACCCCATGAAGCCTGACTACTTCCTTAATGAAGATCCGTGCCGTTTCAGGTGCCGATGGGGGGTTTTCTCCAGGGGTATAAAATGTGCCATCTTTGAGAAGCGGTCCACGACCACCATTATTGCTGTGTAGCCTTGGGATGGTGGGAGTTCGACCACAAAGTCCATGGCAATCATTTGCCAGGCCCCGCTTGGGTATTGGTAATGGACGTAACAATCCCATGCCCGGCTCCTGGAGGGCTTGTTCCTTTGACAGGTGGAGCAGGTCTGGACGTAACGCTCGCAGTCCTTATTCATGTTCGGCCACCAGAACGAGCGCCGTAGTAGTTCCAGAGTTTTCGCAACCCCGAAGTGACCTGCCATTCGATGGTCGTGGCAGTGCCCTAGGACCAGGGTTCGCACCTCTTCTGGGACCATGATCCGGTCTTCCTTCCAAAACAGCCCGCCGTGGTTCAGGAGGGGTGACCCCGACGGAACTGGTAGTCCTGTAGAAGCGTCGAGGAGTCTGGAACGAAGTTCTGTTTGTAGAGCAAGGAAACTTCCGGAAGGTAAGAGATGGTGTCAGGTGCCACTGTGTCATCGGGGTCCTCAAACATGCGGGACAGAGCGTCTGGTTTTGTGTTCTTAGTACCGGGTCGGTACGTAATATGGAGAGTGAATCGCGAGAAGAAAAGAGCCCATCTTGCCTGGCGAGGTCTCAGTCGTTTCGCTGTTCTTAAATATTCCAGGTTCTTGTGATCTGTGAAGACTAGGATTGGGTGTGTGGCTCCTTCCAGTAAGTACCTCCATTCTTCTAGAGCGGATTTGATGGCCAGGAGCTCCCGATCTCCAATGTCATAGTTACGTTCAGCCGGCGTCAACTTCCTGGAGAAGAACGCCACGGGGTGCAGTAGTTCCTTGGTTCCATTTCTTTGGGACAGAACCGCTCCTACCGCGTTCTCAGAGGCATCCACTTCCAAGACATATGGGAGGGAAGTATCCGGATGGCAGAGGATGGGCGCAGACGTGAATAATTTTTTGAGCTTCTCGAATGCCGTCTGGGCTTCGGAAGTCCACTTAAAGCGGACCCTTGTTTCGTCAGTTGCGTGATCGGGGAGACCAGACCGGAGAAGTTCCTAACAAACTTTCTATAAAAATTGGAAAAGCCGATGAAACGCTGTACCCCCTTTTTGTCGGCGGGTATTGGCCAATCTAAGATCGCCGTGACTTTCTGGGGATCCATCGCGACCCCCGCGGAAGAGAGAACCAGTCCCAAGAACGTGATTTCGCGCTGTTCGAAACAGCACTTTTCTG